AGCATCCCTGTAGACCCAGATGGCTTCCTCTCTCTCTCTCAGGACTCTCCATTCACAACACTTAACTCTACTGATTGTAGTAGTGACTCTACTGGCTGTGGAAGTGTCAACTGCTACAACTTAACTCTTTGACTAAATATTACTTCTATAATTAACCGTCTTCACCTATAATAACTTCGTAAAGTAAATAACGTTGGTCTCAGAACTTTTATCATATAAAGTCTCATATATTGCCATATATATATATAACTTGTACCATTTGATCATATATATATTATCATACTATCGAAAGGATAGGATATATATAATGCTTACTCTACTATATCTAGATTCCATTTTTAGTATATGGAAAATACTAGTATTAATAATCTATAGGCCTTATTTTGAGTGCGAACTTAAGTTTGGGATTTTCCCATTACATAATGGACAAAAATAATCTTGAACGTTTCAAAAGATGATGACAAAGATAATCCCCGGGAATTATCGGCCTTCCTAACAAAGAAAGATTAAGAAAAAAAACTTAATTTACATTCCTAAGAGAGAGAAAGAAGATTAATGGGCGCCACGACTGGAAAAATATGAATGGATGAAAGACCATTAATAAAGGGGGGGGGATATAAACAAGGGCATCAATATATCAACACAAAATAATGTACGAATAATGGATATTAATTATGTAAGTTTAGTTTCAGGCTCAAGGGCCCGGAAAACGAGGTTCTTGAGTTAGGAAACAAATTACCTGGGAATCATAATAAGACGGGAACGAGAGATTGTTTCAAGCGGAGGTTAGACATTATATATATATATATATATATATATATATATATATATATATATATATATATATATATATATATATATATATATATATATATATATATATGCCAGTGTCAGACCACGGAGAAAGAAATGAAACAGGAATTTTCTTAAATTCCGTGGAATTTAAGAAAGAATTTTAAACATTTAACCGTTGAATTTTCCTTAAATTCCGTGGAATTGGATTTTAAAAAATCTAATTCTTCCTCCGTGGTCTGCCACTGTCACATTTTTCATCACGTGTTAATTTTCGTGAATTACACACACACACACACACACACACACACACACACACACACACACACACACACACATATATATGTATATGTGGGTCAAGGGGCTATAGGTCAATTGTAGTGACCCAAAGCCTCGAAGAAGAAAATAATGAGTATTCAGAGAGGTCCTTGTGGATTCTCACTGAACACTTTAATACTTTCTTCTACCACCCCTGTTCTTTTTTTTTTTTAATTTTATATTATTATATTGTTAAAGGTTAGAGAAAAAACACACACGTATAACAATTACTGTTCGAAGACCTCATCCAGCTCTTCGGAGTTTGGGTGCGTGACCAAGATACAGCACCTATTTCCTCTCTGGATCGCGACACTGAGGCGCTGGAAAAGGAAACTGGTCGCTCTTGATTTTTTAGTTTTTCTAATGAGTTCCTCACCCACCTCCTTTAGGAATTTAAGTGCACATTTACCCCAGGCGCCCAGAGTCTCAGAGCCTATCGGCACGAACCTGTAACAACGTTCTAGTCTCTGTACTTGTTCGTTTTCTGGATCTCCCTGAAGGTGGCCGCCCCGCTTCCCTCAGCTGTGCTGTAAGGTAGATAGGTATCAGCCAATGTGGATGCATACGTGTAGTCCCACACGACCTGTTTACCTTCCCTCCACGGCTGCACGGTGACTCCATCTGGGCGTTTACGACTGTTGTCAGGTCTGCACAACTGAGGTTCCCTTTGTTCTAGACACAAAGCTGTAGCCAAACTTCTCTTGATGATGTCATTGACTGCTTCATGTCTGGCAATCTTTCCCTGTGTCTTACGACAGATGAGACCATGGCTGCCGTGTTGTCCCCTTTCTGGGCCTGTACCCGGGCCCTTTCTGGGCCTGTACCCGGGCCCTTTCTGGGCCTGTACCCGGGCCCTTTCTGGGCTTGTACCCGGGCCCTTTCTGGGCCTGTACCCGGGCCCTTTCTGGGCCTGTACCCGGGCCCCTTCTGGGCCTGTACCCGGGCCCCTTCTGGGCCTGTACCCGGGCCCTTTCTGGGCCTGTACCCGGGCCCCTTCTGGGCCTGTACCCGGGCCCCTTCTGGGCCTGTACCCGGGCCCTTTCTGGGCCTGTACCCGGGCCCTTTCTGGGCCTGTACCCGGGCCCTTTCTGGGCCTGTACCCGGGCCCTTTCTGGGCCTGTACCCGGGCCCTTTCTGGGCCTGTACCCGGGCCCTTTCTGGGCCTGTACCCGGGCCCTTTCTGGGCCTGTACCCGGGCCCTTTCTGGGCCTGTACCCGGGCCCTGTCTGGGCCTGTACCCGGGGCCTTTCTGGGCCTGTACCCGGGCCCTTTCTGGGCCTGTACCCGGGCCCTTTCTGGGCCTGTTCCCGGGCCCTTTCTGGGCCTGTACCCGGGCCCTTTCTGGGCCTGTACCCGGGCCCCTTCTGGGCCTGTACCCGGGCCCTTTCTGGGCCTGTACCCGGGCCCTTTCTCTGCCTGTACCCGGGCCCTTTCTGGGCCTGTACCCGGGCCCTTTCTGGGCCTGTACCCGGGCCCTTTCTCTGCCTGTACATAGCCGCAAATACACCAGTGTTCGGTAGAGATATGGGCGGCAAGGCGCAGGGCAACACCAATACTTAGGGCCCGATGGTCCAGGCGGGTGCCCAAGGTGGAATTAGGGACTGCCAACAGGAAGTCCCCGGCATGGGGCGCTTGCACAGCTAGGAGCCGCGTTCTGTCCTTCTTAGAAGCTGGCTCCAGCAATGCTTTGGCGAAGTTCTCCACTATGGGGCTATCCCATTTGGCCAGTTTGAAAAAGTTGGCCGAGGGTGTGAGTTGGCAAGATTTTCCCACTGGCAGGCTCCGTCCGCGAATTTGGGATCATTAAGCCCAATGGAATCTCTTAGGTATTCTAGTAGTATCTCATTCACTAATTCACCTGTAGCACTGGTCGAGGATAAGAATGCCGCCAATGCTGTGTTGAGTTGCGAATACTTATACCCTCTGGTATATATATATATATATATATATATATATATATATATATATATATATATATATATATATATATATATATATATATATATATATATATATATATAAGAGTTCGGGAAAACATCAGTCAGTAAGAGCTGTCTCCTACTTCCTGTTGTCGTATTCTAAAATATAATGTTTAATTCTTATGTGGAGGTGTGAGAGTGGGAGAGTCATGACCCCAGACTCCCGCCCACACCACCAGATGGCGGTAACTCTGCCACTGTGTTGTTTACATTGCGGAAGAAGTGCGTGTGTTTTTATTTGGCGCCAAAATGTTTGTTTATTCAGCCCTGTGATGTGTACAGTGGAGTACTGGCTCCTGTGTACACCCCCTGGCCTGGGTGTGGGGTCCTGTGTACACCCCCTGGCTTGGGTGTGGGGGTCCTGTGTATACCCCCTGGCCTGGGTGTGGGGGTCCTGTGTACCACCCCCTGGCCTGGGTGTGGGGGTCCTGTGTACACCCCCTGGCCTGGGTGTGGGGGGTCCTGTGTACACCCCCTGGCCTGGGTGTGGGGGTCCTGTGTACCACCCCCTGGCCTGGGTGTGGGGGTCCTGTGTACCACCCCCTGACCTGGGTGTGGGGGTCCTGTGTACCACCCCCTGGCCTGGGTGTGGGGGTCCTGTGTACCACCCCCTGACCTGGGTGTGGGGGGTCCTGTGTACACCCCCTGGCCTGGGTGTGGGGGTTCTGTGTACACCCCCTGGCCTGGGTGTGGGGGTTCTGTGTACACCCCCTGGCCTGGGTGTGGGGGTCCTGTGTACACCCCTGGCCTGCGTGAGGGGCTCCTGTGTACACCCCCTGGCCTGGGTGTGGGGGTTCTGTGTACACCCCCTGGCCTGGGTGTGGAGGTCCTGTGTACACCCCCTGGCCTGGGTGTGGGGGTTCTGTGTACACCCCCTGGCCTGGGTGTGGGGGTTCTGTGTACACCCCCTGGCCTGGGTGTGGGGGTCCTGTGTACACCCCCTGGCCTGGGTGTGGGGGGTCCTGTGTACACCCGCAGCCTGGGTGAAGGGGTCCCATGTACACCACCAACCTGGGTGAAGGGGTCCCATGTACACCACCAACCTGGGTGAAGGGGTCCCATGTACACCACCAACCTGGGTGAAGGGGTCCCATGTACACCCCCTGGCCTGGGTGAAGGGGTCCCATGTACACCCCCAGCCTGGGTGTGGGGGTCCTGTATACACCCCCAACCTGGGTGTGGGGGTCCTGTATACACCCAGCAGCTGGGGTATACCACCTCGAGCTTTAGTCCCTCACAATGTTAACGTATATGTTTAGTTTTCTACACGAAAATAACAATTTACTATTCCATAGTCACCCCCCCCACTGTGCTCATTACAAAGAAAACATTTTCCCAGTTAATTTGATCAATTATATATTTACATAACTAAATTATTTAGAGTTGCACATTATATTCATAACAAAATCTTATTGTCGCAAATAACAATGCAAATGTTATTCACTTACATTTGTTTAATAACTCTCATTAACCGCTAAATATAGCTAGCATTGTTTTTGTAGGTTTAATGGTGTGGTTATTGAGCAGAGCGTAGCTCATGTATACTGAGCAGGGTGTAGCTCATGTATACATAGGTCACGTATACATAAAATCTGTCCATCGTGTCATGTCTCACGATGGACGGATTTTGCGTCATGGGACAGATTTTTGTAGATGTTATGCCTATGAACAATTGGTTATTCTCAAATATACAGTGTTCAGTCCCCCTCCGCCATTTTCAGAATGTTCTTCTGCTGCCTTTCGCAACGTTTATATCTGTGTTTTTTTTTGTGTGCCCTGCAGCGCTGGGAGCTTCCGGGAATGCATTTAGCCCTCGCAATGCATCCAGGAAAATTTAAGGTTTGTTTTCAGGCAGCAGTTAAAGTGGGTAGAATAATTATGTTAGTGCCAGAGGAGGCGGTTTGCTCCCAGTGCCGCCTTCACCGGTGGTGCCTCCACCAGTGGTGCCTCCACCGGTGGTGCCTCCACCGGTGCCGCCTCCACCAGTGGTGCCTCCACCGGTGGTGCCTCCACCGGTGCCGCCTCCACCAGTGGTGCCTCCACCAGTGGTGCCTCCACCGGTGCCGCCTCCACCAGTGGTGCCTCCACCAGTGGTGCCTCCACCAGTGGTGCCTCCACCTGTGGTGCCTCCACCGGTGCCGCCTCCACCAGTGGTGCCTCCACCAGTGGTGCCTCCACCAGTGGTGCCTCCACCTGTGGTGCCTCCACCGGTGCCGCCTCCACCAGTGGTGCCTCCACCAGTGGTGCCTCCACCAGTGGTGCTTTGCCAGACCTCCCTGTTCCTTGGGACGATAACCTCTACAAGTGAGCTGTAGAGTGTTCTTCAGCCCAGGGACCAAATATCACTGCATATTAGTATATGCCAAACAATAACAATGAAGCCCACATATTATACTACATAACAAAACCAGTGACTGGCACCTTGCCTTGTTTATATTAATGTTAAATAAAACTATAAAATTCAGATTACCATCTAAATTTTCCAGATAATTTTTAATTGTATTCATTTTTTTATATTGGAAGTTTTCTAACGTTTCTGATTGAATGACAAATGATGTCAGTAAGTTTAAAAATATGTCTTCTGTCAGAAGGATATATAAGAAGGTATAGATGTTATTCGAAATTTTATAGAGGCCTTAATATTATTATCATCATTTGCCACATGTTTCAAACACACACAGTTGTTGGGGCCTCTCGGCTGAGTGGACAGTCAATGGGGGTCGTAGTTCTAAGGACCCGGGTTCGATTCCCGGCCGAGGCAGACACAAATGGCCAGAGTTTCTTTCATCCTGATTTCCCTCTGTTTACCTAGTAGTAAATAGGTACCTGGGGATAGCTTCCTGGGGATGTGTGTGTGTGTGTGTGTGTGTACTCACCTAGTTGTGTTTGCGGGGGTTGAGCTCTGGCTCTTTGGTCCCGCCTCTCAACCGTCAATCAACAGGTGTACAGATTCATGAGCCTATCGGGCTCTGTCATATCTACACTTAAAACTGTGTATGGAGTCAGCCTCCACCACATCACTTCCTAATGCATTCCATTTGTCAACCACTCTGACACTAAAAAAGTTCTTTCTAATAGTTGTACTCACCTAATTTGTGTGTGTGTGTGTGTGTGTGTGTGTGTGTGTGTGTGTGTGTGTGTGTGTGTGTGTGTGTGTGTGTGTGTGTGTGTGTGCGCGCGTTAGAGAGAAATATATGTTATAGACATAGAAGAGGAAAAATAGATTGGTTAGAAAGGCGGGGTCGAAGAGCTAATAGCTCGATTCTGCAGGCACAAATAGTAAATACACACACGCACATCATACCTTGAGCATACCTGTAGAGGGTTTCGAGAATTCTTCTACCTCACAGAGCTCGGCCCCAGGCAGGGTTCAGGGAGAAATGATAGAGTAGAAAACCCCCAGTAAAAATGTTTCTGTTTTTTAAAATACAAAAAAATATATTTTTCTTTATTTTTATTTGGGTTTTCTTTATTTCTTGTAAAGCTTTCTGTTCCAATTCCATTTCCTCAGACTCGTATGTCCGCTTCAACGTCTGCTCTATTTCTTGACCAGACCACACACTAGAAATTGAAGGGACGACGACGTTTCTATTGTCCTGGACCATTCACAATCGACTTGAGAATGGTCCAGGACGGACCGAAACGTCGTCGTCCCTTCAATTTCTAGTGTGTGGTCTGGTCAACATACTTCAGCCACGTTATTGTGACTCATCGCCTGCGTCTGCTCTATTTCTTCGATCTCCCTGTTTAGATTTGTCTCTATTGTGAAACTTGTGTCTCTTAAAGCATTTCCGTGATGACCAGACCACACACTAGAAGTTGAAGGGACGACGACGTTTCACAATCGACTTGAGAATGGTCCAGGACGGACCGAAACGTCGTCGTCCCTTCAATTTCTAGTGTGTGGTCTGGTCAACATACTTCAGCCACGTTATTGTGACTCATCGCCTGCATTTCCGTGATTGTTCTGCTTCTCCTGTACAATCGCCTGTATTCACTTTCTACAATGGTCCCCTTTCTGACCCTCCTCACAGGCACGTGGCTAGAGAAGACCTCCCGCCAAATACACAACGAAACTACGACGTTGCTACAACGTTCGAACAAGTTTTAACACCTCCTAACCACTTATAACAACCAATATAGCCAGTTGTAACAGCGTTCTAATACGTCATAAACACGTTAAACAAAGATGCAACAACTTTATTACAAGTTGTAACAAGCATAAAATAGGGACAGTTTGGGTTTGTGTTTCCAGGGCTTCTATGCTTCAGCAGTCAGTTGGGCTATTATTCTCCGCCTGGGAGGTTTGTAACCCACGACTACGAGGTGGATACTGTTATCCATTGCGTCTAAAAGTTTGATAAACGAGGAAGAGTGAACAAATCCACAAGGGCCGTGACGAGGATTCGAACCTGCGTCCGGGAGCATGTGTCCGTGACGCAGGTTCGAATCCTCGTCACGGTCCTTGTGGATTTGTTCATTTGATGCATCACGTTAGTGTGATCTCTGTGTGTAATGAGGAAGAGTGTTTGACCACTCAACAAGGAAGCGAAGTTGAATCTAAAGTAACGTTTTGCAGCCCCCCCCCCTGCTGTCAAGAAGGTATGATATTCACCTTAAGACAGAAAGATTCTTGGTTATATTTCTTGCTAGTGAAACAGGTGACTTTCGTGGTCATTGAAGAGTTAAACTGTATTCGTAAGTTATTATCTTCATCACTGATCACTAGGGTTTTCCAGACATTTGTATACCTTTACCATTTGTAATATCAAACTGTCTAGCCATCACTATATCGCCTTTGTTTTTTTCTCTCGCAAATGTGACTTGCCATCGCCTTCCCAAGGAAGATATTACTGCAAGTTGGTGATTAAAGAGAGTTGTAGCAATTGACATTTCTTCTGGCCCATATGCAGGCGATGAGTCACAATAACGTGGCTAAAGTAAGTTGACCAGACCACACACTAGAAGGTGAAGGGACGACGACGTTTCGGTCCGTCCTGGACCATTCTCAAGTCGATTAAGATTGAATAGCCATCGACTTGAGAATGGTCTAGGACGGACCAAAACGTCGTCGTCTTCCCTTCACCTTCTAGTATGTGGTCTGGTCATCTTCTTGTCCATATGTGTAAAGTAGTTATTTTCAGATTCAGCTCCATTGAGGACTACGCTTAGAGTCCGTTGTTAAAGGTAGTCCCTTATTAGCGGTACAGTGGGGCTGGACGGTAGAGTGATGGTCTCGTTTCATGCAGGTCGGCGTTCAATCCCCCACTGTCTAAGTGGATGGGCACCATTCCTCACCCCCCCCCCGTCACATCCCAATTTTTTATCCTGACCCTTTCCAATTGCTATATAGTCGTGAATGCTAGGTGCTTTCTCCCCTGACAGTTCCGTTCCGTTGTCTCTCTCTCTCTCTCTCTCTCTCTCTCTCTCTCTCTCTCTCTCTCTCTCTCTCTCTCTCTCTCTTCTCTCTCTCTCTCTCTCTCTCTCTCTCTCTCTCTCTCTCTCTCTCTCTCTCTCTCTCTCTCTCTCTCTCTCTCTCTCTCTCTCTCTCTCTCTCTCTCTCTCTCCCCCCCTCTCTCTCTCTCTCTCTCTCTCTCTCTCTCTCTCTCTCTCTCTCTCTCTCTCTCTCTCTCTCTCTCTCTCTCTCTCTCTCTCCCTCTCTCTCTCTCTCTCTCTCTCTCCCCCTCTCTCTCTCTCTCTCTCTCTCTCTCTCTCTCTCTCTCTCTCTCTCTCTCTCTCTCTCTCTCTCACTAATGCCTGTACCCTCACTGCTATCCAAGCTACGAACTCTGGACAGCTGGCTTACCCTCACTGAAACTAATATTATCGTCATGGGGGAAGGCAGCAGAGAGACCGCCGACATCGCTCAGCCTCGTCTGTCTGCGGGTTGGACAGAGACGCCGACGGCGCAGACGGGGACATGAAGTACCCGACAGACCCTCAACCCTGAACCAGGGGCGACTCTCTCATCAAGGAATGGCAGGCCTGGGGGAGGAGGGAAGTCCAAGAACAAATGAATACGCTCACGCATACTATCGACCTTCCATCAAGGTTACTTGGTGAAAAGTTACTTGGTTAACTAGCTGCCGAAGTCAGCCGTGTGCTAGTTACTTCGGGTGAATTGCAGCGTGAATTCTCCTAGTTGTGCTTGCGGGGGTTGAGCTCTGCTCTTTCGGCCCGCCTCTCAACTGTCAACTAATCAACTGTTACTAACTACTACTATTTTTTCACACACACATCCCGAGGAAGCAGCCCATAGCAGCTGTTTAACTCCCAGGTACCTATTTACTGCTAGGTAACAGGCGCATCAGGGTGAAGGAAAATCTGCCCATTGGTTTTTCCTCCGGCTGCGGGGATCGAACCACCGGTCTCTAGGTCCACGAGTCTAGAGCGCTGTCAGCTCAGCCACCAGCACCATCCGTTTGTTTGTGTTTGTGTGTGTTTGTGTCATGTTGGTGTAGTGCTCCATGTTTGTATATTGGTGCCTCACTCTATATCCACTGTGACTGCATAGATTGCACAGTGGAGGAAGATAGCAAACACCCGAAGGAACTAGATGGAACACAATCAACTGAGCCACACTTGATATCACTATGGCTACTGAAGGAGGCTGCAGAGGTGCTATGTTAGATAACATCAGTTATCAGGTTCTATGCCACCTGATAACTGATGTTTTTGATAAAACACTCGAAACAAGGAATCTCTCAGAATTCTAGAAAAAAAGGCAAAAGTAGTTTCAATTTTTAAGACGGGGGACAGAGAGTAGGCACTAAATTACAGAGGATATTAAAGAAAAAGCTGAAATGCTGCCAATCTTACGTCATCTGTTTGTGACACACACATGAGATGATTAGAACGGTTATCAACACAGACCAGATTACAGACCAGATTTACTGACAAAAATTCCTTGTAAAGTGCTGGAGAAAGTTATCAGGTCAAGAATATTGGAGTATCCAGAGAGGATAAACTCTGTAACAGAAAGACAACATGGATTTAAAAAGGGAAATTCATGGCTAACCAACTTGATCGAGTTCAATGATAAGGTTTCCAGAACACAACAGGAACAAAAATATGGCTGGGTAGATTGCCTTTTCCTAGACTGTCAAAGGGCACTTGATACTGTTTCTCATGAAAAGCTTGGGAACAAGATGGAGGAGCAAGGCTGGGTAATTAGAAAGACAGTAAACTGGGTAAGGGAATACCTATAGGACCAAAGACAGAGAGTCACATTCAGAGACGAGGTCTCCAGCTGGAGGAATGTATACCAAGTGGGGTCCCACAAGGATCAGTCCTGGAACCACTACTGTTAGTAATT